TAGACTCCAAATCACTTGCAACTTTGACCAGTTGCTGAGTAGAGGGTCCTTATAAAGGCACTATAGGAATCGAGGAGGAAAATAGTCGCAAATGGGGTCTTACTTGCGCACGTGATTGAGAGTGAACGGCTCTGAGCGGCTTGTCGGGATGGTTTCTTCAACGATCGGAGCGGTGTTCAGCTACAACGATCGGCCTAGTGGATAGCGTGGAGGATTATCAATCGGTCAGTGAGGGTGGGTGTTGATGGTTCGACTCCCCTAGGCGTGCGAGTTTTTGCATTTTTTTAGTTTCGCTATCCTCGCTTCCATAAATGTCTGTGCATGAGTATAACATGGATATTTGCCATTCATGGGCAAATTCTTAACGGTAGTACCCCGTGAGTCGGTGTTATACTTCTATTACAATTTTCTCTTACAATTAAGAAAGGCTACTACTGAAAATTGGTTTCTATGTGTAAGTAAGTGATATGATCATTAACATGGTACTTAATTTTAGCTGTGGTGCCATTTGTCTCCGATTTGGATCAATCTCCCACTGTATTCATTATGTACACCCATAAAAGGGACGTTTAGCACTACTCTGCCGTCAAATTGCGTCAGCGCCAGAAATAAGTGTCAGAATCGTGATCAGGACCATCGATAACCCCTATAGACGAAGAATCGCTCAAAAAAATTTTTTCGACCTTATTGGGTGTGTGTATTGGATTGTGTACACGAGTCTTTCTATTAATCGTGCTTTGCCTGTTATTCAAAGTTTAAAGGCAGCGTCCGCGATCAACCAAAGTGAAAAAACCCTCCAATGAAAACGAACGCGGAGTACGCAACCACAGCGGATATCCCACTCTTGCGGCTCGAAATCGATTGGTTGACGAGGGCGGAGTCAACAAGGCTGAGCTGACGCCTCCTTCCTGTTAATCCCGCCCCGACTGGTTAACAGTTATCAGTGCTTGCTGGCATTGATAAACGCTAAGTTTCTGGAGTTCCGAGGCCGGCGACGTGTATTGGAGAACTCACCAAAGGTCTGCGAAACTCGTCCACATGCCTTAAATTTCGTAGGGTCTTATTTCACGCTCTTCCACACCTTTTTCCTACTTTTTTTTGATTAGTGCTTCATTGGCCACCTGTTCTAACAAATTTGACCCCTGAGACCTGCCAAAGTCCATCGCGGGCGCTGTTTTAATCCTCCACGACTATCACTACGGCCATCGATCGTTGTAACTGAACACCGCTCAAGATCGTTGAAGAAACCATCCCGACAAGCCGCTCAGAGCCGTTCACTCTCATCACGTGCGCAAGTAAGACCCCATTGCGACTTTATCTTCCTCGCTCGATTCCTTATAGTTGCCTTCTATATTAGGACCGTCGTACTCAGGCAACTGGTCAAAGTCTGCAAGTGATTGAGACCAGAGGGCTAAAACCAATCGCGTTTCTTATTCAATTCTTATCACATCCTTTTTGGTATTCAAAGCAGGCCCATTTAGGGACAAATAACGGAATCAGTTTGGTAGTCCATGAACGTGCCCCTACATAATGCAAAAACCGTTTTCAAAAAGCGCCCCACGTCCTGAATGACCTTCCTGGTTAGTGGCTTATAGAAAGGTGTACTGCCAAGGAGCGAGTCTGTTTATAGTGTTCTTGAGGACTCTTCTTGCTTTTTCTCTTCTTTGGGATTAATTATCTCCTACTGTTTCATAATGTGAATCAGAACATATTCATGAACTTTCTATGGCCGGGCAGTGTCTTAAAGAAGTAGATAATGATCGGGGTCTCTTGGCGTTTTTCATACTTAATGAAAATTAACGACTGAACACAAGACTCGATCTCCCGGTGATATAAACTCGATTCAAATATCCCTATTCTTAGCGCCAGAGGTACATAATCGGCGCGCAAGTAATGTCGCAGGGCCACGCCCACCAGCTGCACCGGACGATATTCTGTTGCTACACACCCTATTTGCTTGCCGTCTCATTCGTTGCACTTCGATCGTCACACGAGCCATTAATGACAGTCGAAACAAGAGTTATAGTGGCGAGCCGTGACTATCGGAATAAGCCGAGAAAACTTGAGGTAGTTCATTTCGTGGCTCTTGCAACAAGCCCTCCCTCATTCCGTAGAAAAGCTAGCACCATTGCCACCGCTCCTCAACCTATCTTTTGTTTGACACTTTAGCTCACATTTGCTTGCCCCGCTCCGCGAATCTGTGCGCGCCTAACTTGGGAGAAGGCCTGTGCCACATGGCCCACTTCACTCGGGCGAAAACCGATAGTAATGCAGAGCGCCCCCTCGTCGCGGCCTGCCGCTGCGTGATCGATCGACAATCGTTTAGAAGTGGAGTGCGTTTCGACGCGATACTTCATCGTTTTTGGAACAGAGTACGTCCTTAGTTTGCTTGGGCATTGTTCCTAGAACCTAAATAATCTGTGATTGTTCAGCTTCTATCATACTTATATTCATTAGTGTTTCTTTAAAAAATTAGCTTCTAGATTCACTGTTTTGACTAGTCCCAAATTGCCTTCTTAGTAGTCGTATCGTCTCACTATTCTGTGATGCACGAATGCATTTAATACCATAGAGCGCCCAAGGTTCTGAACAACACTTCGAACAGTTCCATTTGGCCCCATTCGGCTTGAAGAGGGGGAGGGGCATTATGCACTTTCGCTAGTGCTCGTCACAAACCACGCCATTGTATATTGTGGATAGTGGCGTTCTTACAAACGTAGTACCTAAATTACCCTCCAGTTAAGAAAAAAACAAGAAAAAAGTATGCAGGGCGCCTAATGTAAGGGCCTGGCTGCCTCTCCGGACGAGTTCTCCGGAGCTGTTCTTTTTATACCAGCAAAGTGGTATCCTGCCGCCTCTGCCTCTTTTACTTTTCTTCCCGTCATTCAAAGCAAATACCATCTAACAGCGAAAAGGAAACTGTAAAAACCTAACTCGTGACGGAAAACAGCCTTCGTGCTTTCGTAGGCGGGGAACTAGGGAGGCCTCAGAACTGCCACTTATGAAGTCCTCAACCTTCGTTCCTTACTTGGAAGCCGCGGAAAACGGGATAATCTTAGGGAATGAGGGCCAGACTACTTGTACAATGAGGTACGGTGGCGACTGTCTTCAAATTACAGGCCTAACGTGAGAAAGCGAAAATATGCAAGTGGGCCACTTCAGGCTGCGTTCATACTTCGCTTCAGCGTACCAGCGCCAGCGGTAGCAAGGTATAAGTGCCGATCCAGCGTACGCAGCGTCCATGAGTGAAGAACGTGGGAAGCAGGAGGATAGCAGACTGCTGGATCAAGCGTCGTGGAATTGCGACGTGTGCAGTCGCACGCACGACTGCTGAAGCACGGATTCATGGGCTAATGCCTTTTAAACTCCAGAAATTTCGCGTCAACCGAGCATTTCTGAATTCCCAACCGCTAAAAACTTGTATTATAGGATAGTTTTTAACTATCCTTATTACGAATATGACATTCGCTCTTGTCGCTGGCTTGAAGAGAGTGCACTACGATTACTTCCTGGGCTCAGCCTTAGCAAAGCGTAGATAATCGTAGTGTCATCCATTAGCGCCAGCGACAAGAGTGAATGTCATATTCTTAGTCAGTATGTTAAACTACCCCTATATACAAGTTTTTAGCGGATTTGGTGGCTTAGGCAATTTAAAAATGAGCTCGGTGCCGAAATTTTCTGGAGTCCAAACGGCATTAGCCGGATTCATGCAGTCTTGATGTGCGGTGTCGGAGTTTCCCACTCCTTCCCCCCCCCTTTCCACAGGAACGAAGAAAGCAAAGCCACAGTACTAGCCGACCGAAGCCGCTAAAGCCCATGCGTGCTTGTCTCGGCGCTTCCCCGTGGTCCCTCCAAACCACATTACCTTTTGAGGTGTCATTCCCAAAATGTTTTCAAGGGAGGCTTGTGTGGCATAAGGTAGTATTAAAAGGATTCCACTCATTACCTCTTTGTTCCCTTGTTTTCGTCTCACTTTTTCTCTTTGTTCCCTGTCTGTCGTATTTTTTTTTGTTCGATCGCTTGTGTCTCCTTTCGGCTAGAGGAAAATGGGCCAGCAAAGCCGCCGCACTATTTTCAGAATTGATTACACATGGCAAATGTTTTATTGGACGACTATCGTGCACTTCGAGCCTGTTTTCTCTACGAATTTCTTCAAGGCCACAAAGCAGCGGACGCCCACCGAAATATATGTAAAGTGGTAGGTAAAGGTGCCCTGCAGTACGAAGTCGTGAAGTTCTGGTTTCGTCGCTTCAAAAGCGGCGATTATACGCTTGAAAACCGAAAGCCTAAGCCAACTCGTCGTCGCGTGGATTCCGACGACGATGATGAGCAGGAGCTGACAGATGCACCTTCGGCGACCGTCTCTGTAGTGAAGGAAGAAGTACTGCCAAGTGAGTACGATACCGCGTGTGTAGTTGTTTTAGCGAATCTGAAAATCTTTGACTACTAACCTCATTAAATCAAAAGTTTTGAAACATGAGCAGGCACTAAAAGTTGGGAGACGTCAAGACAATTGTAATTTGCCGTTCCGTCGCGCGCGGAGACTGCGCGATATTCTCGAATTTGCGTTAGCCTGGCGGATGAGGCAACGAATTCATGAAGACTGCGACGTCGCAGGCATATTTTTTGGTTATGCATTGTCTAAGCTGAAATCTACCATCTCGAAACATCGCGATTTTCAGGCGGGACGCCCAATGCGGCAAATTGCGATTGTCTTGTCACATGGTAATGTTGTTGCTGGGGAGGAAAAAGTGGCAGTACGACTGTGTCTCTGCAGGACTAGGCTGTGACGACTCTGCTTATCTGTACTCCGCTAAAACCGAACCTTGGATGGGGAAAGGACATGGTGACGTGCCCCCCCCCCCTCCGCCGACGTTGGCGCAGAGGTGCGGCCGAGTGGTCCCCTAGCTTAGTGAACGCCCGATTGTTGTTCTATTACGATTAGTCTTTTTTTTCTTATCCATGATTTGTAACACCCCCAAAATAAAAGCTGTTCAGTTGTGCAAAGCTGTGATTCAATCAGTTTACCTGCTGCAGCTTCTGGAAATAATTGTGCTGAGTATCCGACGAAGGATGACGCGATGGAGGTAGAAGCTGCGCCAAGTAAGTGAAATATTATGTGAGTCTGATAATTTCAGCGTGGAATTCGGCAGTTCATAGCTGACATTACTTCTCTCATCAGGTCTTCTAGTGCGTGAAAATGATGGTACACAAAATCCAACACCTTCGCAGATTCTTGATCGCTGATGATGTTAAACCTGCAACTTTGAAAGAACTTTCTGAATCGGCGGCAGGTATTTTATTTTATTCGCCAAACTCATAAAATAGTTGGTCACCGAAATAGAATGCAGAAAAATCTAACAACGCATGGCCGTGTTCGTACTTTGCGTCAGCGTACGGCTGCGACTAAGGATGTATATTTATCGACCTAACGTACGCCAGCGTTTACCAGGAGTGGAGAGTATGGAGTAGTAGGAGGGTAGCAGACTTGTAGGATCAGGCGTCGTCGAGGTAGGGCGTGTGCAACCGCACATGCTCTACCTCGACGACGCACCATACAACTGCTAAAGCACCATACAACATGCTAATCATGCATGTTCAGTTTAGCGGAGTTGTGCGGTGCACTGCACACACCGCGATTTTACCACGTCTCCACCGTTCGGCTCCTCTACATCCTCATACTCTCCACTCCTGGTGGACGCTGGCGTACGCTAAATCGATGCCCATACTTTCCTAGTCGCTCAAAATGCTGCTGTGCGCTTACGTACGCTCGAAACACTGCCGTACGCTGACGCAAAGTATGAACATAGTCACTGTCCCATGTAAGAAGCATTCCGTCTAGCCGTAGTCTCGCAACATTACAAGGGAAGGATACCAACTGGTCATGGCCATTCAGGATGGGATGTATACTCCTAGAAGCATTTCCGGACGCTGACATTAGATCTGACTTCTGTGCTTAATCATTGCGGTGCGCCCCCTACCCATACTTGGCGCTTGTGAACCCCTCGTGACGCGACCGCATCTGTGCTTCGATGGCGCACCAGGTAGGTGAATGGGCTCATGGTGGTGGGACGACGGTTCCAATCCTTGATGACTGTCGTAATTTTACTTTTTCTTAAAACGTATGCATAACTCTTGGGAAGTGGTTTTAGGTAAAGTTCGATCATCATGACCCCTCTCTGCTTCTTATTGAGCCTTGTGAACGAATCCCTGTGAACGAATTCTGGAGGATTCCATTTTGACTTCAGTGAAAGCATTGAAATTGATAGCGTTTGTGTGACAGCTTTATTTGGGGCACATATTGCTGTAAGTAGTGCGGAACATTAAGCCAGCACACACACAAGATTATCTTGATAGAAAACGGCCGTGTACAGTAGAAAGAACTTATGGAAAGCTTTGAAGCTAGTATCGCTCAAGCCACTCGTTTCTTCCACCAGTTTCTCGGCACTGTTTACCCTTACTGCCCCAGTCATCCGAAAATCCAGCCAGTTGCAGAATAGGCTGAAAATGTGTCTCCTGGGGCAATTCGACATCCTGAACATGAATAGTACAGTCCTCATCATTGCGGACCAGTCAGTGCGGCTCCGTCTTCGCGGTGATGAAGTCGTTCTGCACCAGTTGTTGAAGCGGGCAAGTGACATTACTGTATTATATCCTTCGTATTACTCGTTTTCTACCACTTTTTGTCGCATACGCGTTTCAACAAAAAAGGCTGAGAACGGCTTCAACAGTGTGCGCACTCCTACTGGCTGACACGCCCCACCGGTCCGCAATGATGAGGACTGTACATCCGCTCGGCACGAAACCTTCGGGGGCCCGCGCCACAGGCGCCAGCGCCAAAATACCCCAAACAGCGGTGCCTGTGGCGGCCAGCAGTTTTTGGGTCAAGCGGAAGTGATACTCGCATTCAGGAGATCGAATTACCCCAGTATACAACATCTGGGGCAAGTCTATCCAATGAGGAAACGGTCAAAAATTCCGGTTGATTGGCGTAGTGAACGGTAAATAGTGCCTTTCTCACAATTTCACAAGTGGTATTCTCTAGCAACTAAGCACAACCTGCTTATTACGCACAAAAATGTGCGACTCTTCCTTGTAGTTGATCGGTAGAACGCTATGGCTTCATTCACCCAAACCACATGCATACTGTGTCATGGACTTGTTCAAAAGTGAAGCCCTTAAAGACACTTCCCGCGATCAAGTGGTCCTGAACGAGCGAGCGATGGGAAGCACGTGACCTGAAGAAGAGGTAGTTCGTCTTCCATACTCGTCGCAAGAGGAGGATAAGAAATGAAGAGCAGTTAGTGTGTTTCTCAGACTCACCTAATGATCTTTTAGATGGGGGCACTATTCAATTGTTACTACCCAACATCAGACCACTTTTACTATAGAGCTTTTAGAAAATTTTGTTCCCGCACCAAGCTCCAATCACGAATATCGCGTTGCCTGGCTAGGAATGGCCCGGAGCTCAGCAACGGTCCCACGGCTCAAGCTTTGCGCTCCAGTCGCTATGGAGCGCGCGTCCTTCACGCCCGACACACTCGTCCAAGACTGCTGAGGGGAGGTCTGTGTTTAGGGTGTTTCCGAGAGTTTTTCCCTTTCTTTTTCTACTGAGGAGCTACTTATGGGATACTGGTTCATAACGGAGCACCAACATCAAGAACGTCGTCCCACCACCATGAGCCCATTCACCTACCTGGTGCGGTGCGAAGCACGGATGCGGTCGCGTCACGAGGGGTTCACAAGCGCCAAGTATGGGTAGGGGGCGCACCGCAATGATTAAGC